AAGTTAGCCTTCACGTCCTCTTAATCAAGTCTGCTGACTTCAAAGTCAGCACCTCTTGGCCCCCACATTGACTACAGTGTGATGTGTTTCAGATTGAAGATAGAGAGGAAGATTTCACCTTCCTGAAGTGAAGAGGGTAGTGGTAGCATAAAGAGACGCTTAAGTGGATTTGAACAGAATGGAACAAAAGCAAAGATGTCAAGTAACTTGGAAGGAATGAAAAAACCTTTCTCTAAGTGAAGATAGGTGGCTTAGTTCATAAGTTGCTTCCCATCTGGAGGACCGTTATTATGTGCTTCTGAAGGAAAAGAACTGAAAATCTCTTGATTGTATTAAAGTGTAACAATAAATCTCACCATGCGAGGGGAGCTACAATATAAGGGATAATAAAAGAAAATGTTATGGCACTTAACTTCATGGCCTCAAATCTCCCATTCAGTCAGAACAGAGACTCTTCCATCACCAAGAGAGAACCGGACAATTTAATTTTTGTTTCTATTCATGCTCAGGCCTGTGTTGGAGCTCTTCCATATCTTCTATTATGCTACTTGAAAATGGTTGCATAGTTTGATACAAACAATATCTCAATCTGACATCAACAGCTTAGTTTTGGACCAAGTGATTTCATTCTAAATTATCGTTGGCTGACAGATGCTGAGAGCTACCCACACAAGATCTGAAAAAGCCATGTTCTCTAATTTAATATTATAATAATTTTAAATTACAGCTTTATTAAGAGGAAACACAGATTTATTTATAGAGAACACTGATGGTTTCTAATGATGATCAGGGCTGCATTATGCTATTCACTGCAGCCCACATTCGGACAGCTTCAATTGTCTGAGTCACTAACAAAAGCATTCTGGTACAAACACTGTCCTCCTTGATTCAAAGCAGTGAAATCCTACAAAAGCGGGCCTTGGAAAGAGCCAACCCCTGCCCTGAAATATCCTTTTCTCCTTGACCAACCCACATGAAAATGGCATTTCTGCCTTTGGGTTTAAAGACATTCTACCTCAAACAATTGCTTTTCCCTTGGCTTCTGAGACGCTGCAAGATTCTTTTTTTTCCTCTTTGAATGTGTATGATTTTGTGGAGGTTTGGTCTTCACCCCAAGGTGCATCTTAAATCTCTTTGTGTTGTGTCAGGGTGGTATGTGTGTGTGTACTATGTATGTACATGCGCGCGCGCGCACACACACACACACACACACACACATGCACACGAGTATTCAGATGGTTGCTCAAATTGCATGTCTTGGTACACATGCGAAGTTCAGAGGACAACCTTGGGCGTTGGTCCTTGCCTTCTACCTTGATTGAGGGAGGATCTCCAATAGATCTCCAGTATCTACAAGAGTAGCTGCAGCTTCAGGGGCTCCTCCTATTTTTACCTCCCATCTTGCTGGAGGAACACTAGGATTGCAGATGCTTGCTACTATGTTCATTCTATGGGTTCGCTCAGGTCTTTACTCAGAGACATTTCTCCAGGACCCCCTTTCAATCTTTTCTATCCCTCCCAATTCTTTATGGTAAATTTAGACTTTACCTTCTTAACCCAGAAGATACCTCTAAGCAAACAATGTTAATATAAACATTTCTATCTTTTTGCAGTCCACCAAGTATTTTGATATAATTCTGGAGCACCAGGTAAGGAAGTCAGTGGAGATGCTAAGTACGGGAAGCCACTCAGGCCAGCAGCAACAGATCCAGCACTCCAACGCAAGATTAGAGCCACTAATCCTGCAATCTCCTCCCCTGACAGTGCTTATGGGGAACGCTTAACCTCTGCCTCCAATCCCTGCCTGCCTCTAAATCCTTCATCTTCATTTTCAGATCCTTCCCAGCACTGACACTGGATGTCTGGACAATATCTAAGTCAGTGTGCTTAACTAAACCCATTTAACTTATTGGCATCTAGCTTTCTTTTATCCAATTTATTTATTTTATCTAAATCAGCATTTAGTATACAAATTTTGAGGTTTGAAACATCACTTCAATGTTCTCATCAATCTACTGTCTCTAGGATAATACAGATCCACCACCCCTAAACTCAGTTTGATCCCTACTTACATTTCCAAGTCAATTTTTCTTCTCCACAGAAACTTCCTACTACAGCCAGACTGGTTTATCTATGCCAAGATTTCAGAACTTCTCCATGGGATTTCCCTGCCTGCTCCCACCTCTGGCTAAGCAAATCCAAGATAGAGCTAAGTCTCTGCTCTTTTGTGGAGCATGTCCTGGCACCCTGGCACCCAGGAACATCCCAATCAGCATTATGTCCTACTACTTAGGTGACAGATGCTCACATCTCCAGAGTCATTTAGTAGCCTGTGTCTTATGGATCCACAGAGGCAGACCTGTGTGTGAGAGTGTTTGGGTGGTGGATGCTCCAGTATTTCTTGGCTGATGATATAGCTGCCCCTCAGCATTTCCTGGAATTCAAATAATCTATCTATTAGGTTGTTAACTTGTGCAATGTTAGTCTTCTGGGATTAACGACTTCTTGGGAAAATGAAAGAAAAACCCTCAGCACCATCTCTGTGGGTCCCCAAATACATACAGCTGGGACTTAGTTTCCACAGTATGAAAAGTACTCGGAGGAATTCTTCTCCCATTGATGCCGCCAGTATTTGCAAACTAGTTGGTCAGACTAGAAAACATGCTGGTCGTACTTTGGCAATAGCCTTCCTAGACGACTCCAGACCCAAAGAAAACAAGGGTCAAAGGCTAGTGCTCAGAGAAAAGCAAGACACTTAGCACTGTGTATTCTAGAGACAGAAAAACACCTCCCTTTCCTGTGTGAGGTCTCACCCGTGACCTTTAGTAGTATTTCACCAATCAGTTGCTCTGACTGAAAACAGAGGCTGAACACCAGACCACAGTGGGAGAACGGTAACTTAATCTAGGTCTTCAATCAGCTACTCTCTGTTCTGCTCCTTCCTACTCTTCCACTCAATCCAAGCTTGTAGACGGCCAGCTTCAACGGTCAGATTCTGCTTCATGACTCAAAGGCTGACTGAGGATATAAAGTAGCTTCTGGAAGCAGCACAAACATTTTTGGAATTTACAGTCACAACCAAGCACCCTGCACACAAGGTTTCACAAGGTCAGGCCAGAGACTCCAGGTCAGCACTTTGCAAAGATGGGATTCTATTAGCAGACTCTGAAGAAAACAGCATCCAATCTTCGGGGGGAACATCAGGCAGATAAGAAGACTGCTCATGCCAAGCATTCTACTGCACCTGTAAGGCCTGCCAACTCGTGGGCATTTGTTTCTAAATTAAGTGGCCAACACAGATGATTCTGGAAATCTATTTTCTGTGTCAAATCAGTCCCACTAATGACTGCCAGATGTTGGGGGTGAGAGACCTGGAGGAAGGTAGGCGTGGTTAGAAATGAGCAACACAGCCTGACATGGTGGTATATGCCTGTAAGCTTAGGATTGGCGAAGTGAAGGCAGGAGTATGTTGAGTTTGACGCCAGTGTGGAATATATATTACCATAAGTTCTAGGCTATCCCAGTATGATGGTAAGTTTTAATTGTTTACTTGACGAACTTTAGAATCTCCTGGGAAGAGTGTCTCAATGAGGTATTGTTTAGATCAGGTTGTCTTGTGGGCATGTCTATAGGGGTATTATCTTGATAATTGAGGTGGCAAACTCCCCCACACCCACTGTGGGTGGCAGCAATCCCTAGGCAGGAGATCCTGAACTATATTATCATGGAGAATACAAGAGGAGTGTAGGTGTGCCTGCATTTATTCTCTCTGCTCTTGAGAGTGGATATGATTAGCAGCTTCATGTCCCTTGCTGCCTTGGCTCCCCAAAATGATGGACTGTAGCCTGGCATTGTGACCTAAAAATAAACCCTTCTCCCTTAAGTAGTTTTTTGCCAGGGTATTTTATCATAGCAACTAGTAAGGAAACTAGGACACCTGAACTATATAAGGAGACCCAACCTAAAAAGAAAAGCAAAAGAAAACAAACACCAAAAACAACAACAAAAGACAGAGGAAAGAAAAAAGAAGTGCGCAACATGGGGAATCCTGGTAGTGACAGAGGTATTATGAACCCTGACTATGTTGTTAGCAGATACACACAAATAAAATTGCAAAGAGACTTATACATAGAGATACCAGAAAAACTAGGAAAATCAGAAGGAGACTAATGAGCTAACACATGAGGGGCAGTATAGCACTAGAGTTTTAAGACATGTTAGCATGGGATGAGGAGGAGGAACATTTGTATCATTTCTAGAACCTCTCTGTGAATCTATAATGATCTCCCAAGCAAACATTAATAAGGGCAATTTTGAAATGTAGACTTCTAAAATAGAATGCAGGAGGATGCTACCTTACAGGTACAAATAAAAAGATGCTGCTCTTAAAAAAAAGACCTGGACTTGAGACTTGGTATCGTTAAAGTTGTTGTTTACCAGATCACACTGCCAGTCACCTCACATCTATCCAGATGTACCCCAAAAGGACTTCGACTTTTGTTTATTGCGAGTGACCTTAGCCCCTTTCCATTTATCACGCTGCGCTGGTTTGACCTTGGGAAAGCAAGTTCCTCGTTTGTGCTAAGTGGTAATTAGCAAACACACAAAAAAGCTCATTTTAACATCAAAGTCAAAGTACTTAGTGCCACTTTTACAGTAAACCCTGACATTTTGCATTTGTACCCTTTTCTAGGCTGGATAAACATGAACTAAGTAAGTGCCTATTTCTACAAAAACCTTCATTCATCATTTCACTAGAACTTACAAGGCATTTTGCTAAGGCCAGGGAGGCGAAAACCCCCCTGGTGTTTTGTATTCTGGTAGAAATTGTCATCACTTACTTTCCTTGTGAAGCAGGGACACCTAAAACCCAGCAAAGGCTGACAGCCTAGCATTTTAGGGGTCACAACAGAGCCCATGCCATTGCTTGAAGCGGCAAGCTAGGCCCTGCAGTTCTTTTCTAAGTCTCCAAAGAGAAGCAGAACAGTGTCTTCACTCACCAATGTCATTGCTGCGGTCTGAGAGGTCCTTGTCGAGGATGCCAGAGAGTGCGCTGCCCGCCAAGTCAATCTTTGGACTGTCACCCCTACATTAAAAACACAAGTCCAGACATTTAATAATCAGTGTGCCCTTGTCATTCTGTCCACATTCTGGCTGCACACACATTATGGAGGGTGGCGTGTGTGTGTGTGTGTGTGTGTGTGTGTGTGTGTGTGTGGCGGATGGCACTGTTACCTGCAAAAGGAGCCAAAGGGAGGTAGTGAAAGCCAATGAACTGTCCGGCCACACGGGCTGTGGTATAAACTGGCCAGCAGACTGGATGGCCCTCTGTTCTGTGCATATTTTCTAAGATGGCTATTTTAATAATGACCCTTTGCCAAAGCACTTCTAGCCACAAACCCTCCCGCTGTCTCCACAGGATGCGACACAGGCTTGTTCCTGCCCCATGGCCAAATAAGCACTGGCAAACTGGCGGCTTCCCTTTTAAGGAACACAGAATTTAGCCAACGCTTCTTGTCAAAGGTCAGCTACTTTTAACCTTGAGAAAAAGGTTCTCTGGCCTGGGGCTGAGGCATCGGCCAGGCTGTTGACAGGCATAAGGTGTCAAGTTGAGGTCTGGCAGCTTGAAGGCTGGCACTGGGGTACAAGTCTATAAAATTAGATTGCTTCTGAGTGGTCATGCCCTACCCCCACTCTATGCCCATTATGCCACGAGTGACTTCTCTCAGAATCTGGGCTGGAAGAAGCCCACATGAGGATGGGAATATGTCTCCAAGATAAGGAAAGACACAGTTTCTTTGTAGACTAGCCTGAGATTCCCTCCATATCCCTCCAAAAAGGCAGCTCTTTGGCCCTATTCAGGAGATGAGCCCCAAATAAAGTTATCCGAGGACTGATCCTCACCATGAAATGTTGAAATAATTGTTCCTATCAAAGCAATAGAAATAAATAGTCCATCTCACAGCCTTTGCAAGTTACCATGGCTTGAAGTCAGAATATACCAGGAACAGACTCACTGCCCCAAACCTCTGTCTGGTGGGAGTATGGAGAGGCCCAAGGTGGGAAGTACCTCCTCTGGAAAGACACATAGACCACAGGTCCACAAGGCATGATGACTACAGGTCACGGTCCTGAGTAGGGCTGGGGAATTCGGGGCACATGGAACATGATAATTGGGCATTGGGGGAAATAAAAAGACATACCTATTAGAGGCAGGACTGTGCCCTGGGGAAATGGCTCGCTGAATTAAAGCTCTTATCACACAAGCAGGAGGGCTTGAGTTCAAAATCTACAAACCCACATAAAGCCCGGCCCAGTCGTATATGTCTGTAATTGCAATGCCCCTAAGGTAGAGATTGAGACAGAAGAATTCCCCAGAAGTCTATGAGCCAGCTGAACTCAGGAAATACAGTGTGGCATGGCTGGACAAAGGCGTGAGAACAAGAAATCTTATCTTACACAACATAGAAGGCAATGACTGACACCTGAGGTGATTCTCTGAGACAACATGAAAGAGAAAGGAAGAGAACAGGAAAAAAGGAGAAGAGGGTGGGACTGAGCAGAGAAGCAAGTGTACATGAGATGACGAAGGGTCCCAGCACTACAGCTTAAAGTCTGGGCTATGTGTGTATTTTTGTGAGTGTGTGCGTGTGTGTGTGTGTGTGTGTGTGCGTGCGTGTGTGTGTGTGTGTAAGTTTATAAGTACAAGCTGCTCTAACCAAGGAAGTGAAAGATCTATTTGACAAGAACTTTAAGGCATTGAAGAAAGAAACTGAGGAGTATACCAGAAAATGGAAGGACCTCCCTTGCTCTTGGATTGGGAGGATCAACATAGTAAAAATGGCAATTCTACCAAAGGCAATTTATAGATTCAATGCAATCCCCATCAAGGTCCCTTCAAAATTCTTCACAGATCTTGAGAGGACAATAATCAACTTTATAGGGAAAAACAAAAAACCCAGGATAGCCAAAACAATCCTATACAATAAAGGATTGTCTGGAGGCATTACCATCCCTGACTTCAAACTCTATTACAGAGCTACAGTGATGAAAACAGTGTGGTACTGGCATAAAAACAGAGAAGTCGACCAATGGAATCGTATAGAAGACCCGAATTTTGACCCACAAACCTATAAACACCTCATTTTTGATAAAGGAGCCAAAAGTATACAATGGAAGAAAGAAAGCATCTTCAACAAATGGTGCTGGCATAACTGGATGTCAACCTGTAGAAGAATGAAAATAGACCCATATCTATCACCATGCACAAAACTCAAGTCCAAATGGATTAAAGACCTCACTATCAGTCAGAACACATTGAACCTGATAGAAGAGAAAGTGGAAAGTACCCTACAGGAGATGGGCACAGGAGATCGCTTCCTATGTGTAACCCCAACAGCACAGACATTAAGGGCAACATTGAATAAATGGGACCTACTAAAACTGAGAAGCTTCTGTAAAGCAAAGGACACTGTCACCAAGACAAAAAGGCAACCTACTGACTGGGAGAAGATCTTCACCAACCCCACAACAGACAAAGGTCTGATCTCCAAAATATATAGAGAACTCAGGAAACTAGACTTTAAAATGCTAATTAACCCAATTAAAAATGGGGCACTGAACTGAATAGAGAATTCTCAGCAGAGGAAGTTCAAATGGCCAAAAGACACTTAAGGTCATGCTCAACCTCCTTAGCGATCAGGGAAATGCAAATCAAAACAACTTTGAGATATCATCTTACACCTGTCAGAATGGCTAAAATAAAAAACTTCAATGATAGCCTTTGCTGGAGAGGCTGTGGAGGAAGGGGTACCCTCATCCATTGCTGGTGGGAATGCAATCTTGTGCAACCACTTTGGAAATCGGTGTTTCGGTCTCTCAGGAAATTCGGGATCAACCTACCCCTGGACCCAGCAATACCACTCCTGGGAATATACCCAAGAGATGCCCTATCATATGACAAGAGCATTTGTTCAACTATGTTCATAGCAGTATTATTTGTAATAGCCAGAACCTGGAAACAACCTAGATGCCCTTCAATGGAAGAATGGATGAAGAAAGTGTGGAATATCTACACATTAGAGTACTAGGCTGCGGTAAAAAACAATGACTTCTCAAATTTTGCATGTAAATGGATGGAAATAGAAAACACTATCCTGAGTGAGGTAACCCAGACCCAAAAAGATGAATATGGGATGTACTCATTCATAATTGGTTTCTAGCCATAAACAAGGGTCACGGAGTCTACAATCGGTGATCCCAAAGAAGCTAAGTAAGAAGGTGAACCAAAGGAAAAACATATAGTTGTCCTCTTGGCTATGGGAAGTAGACAAAATTGCCGGGGAGAAAATTGAGATCTTGGGGGTGGGGTGGGATGGGGGTAAGGGGAAATGGGGAGAGAAAAGGGAGAAGGGGAGAATGGGGGGAACTTGGGGAAAAAGGAGGATTGGGATAAAGGAAGGTTAGATAGGGGAGCACGGAAGCACAATTCTTAGTTAAGGGAGCCACCTTAGAGTTGGCAAGAGACTTAAACCTAGAGTGACTCCCAGATGCCCAAGCTGAGGTCCGCAGTTAGTTCCTTGGGCAGCTGAGGATAGGGAACCTGAAATGACCCTATCCTATAGCAATACTGACGAATATCTTGCATATCATCATAGAACCTTCATCTGGTGATGGATGGAGATAGAGACAGAGACCCACACTGGAGCACTGGACTGAGCTCCCAAGGTCCCAATGAGGAGCAGAAGGAGGGAGAACATGAGCAAAGAAGTCAGGACCACGAGGGGTGCACCCACCCACTGAGACAGTGGAGCTGATCTATTGGGAGCTCACCAAGGCCAGCTGGACTGTGACCGAAAAAGCATGGGATAAAACTGGACTCTCTGAGCATGGCGAACAATGAGGGCTGATGAGAAGCCAAGGACAATGGCACGGGGATTTGAATCTACGTAATGTGCTGGCTTAGTGGGAGCCTAGCCAGTTTGGATGTTCACCTTCCTAGGAATGGACGGAGAGGGGAGGACCTAGGACTTACCACAGGGCAGGGAACCCTGACTACTCTTTGTACTGGAGAGGGAGGGGGAGAGGAGTGGGGGAGGGGGAGAAGGGTGGGAGGAGGGGGAGGGAAATGGGAGGCTGGGAGGAGGTGGAAACTTGTTTTTTTTTCTCCTTTTCTCAATAAAAAATGGAAAAAAAATAAGTACAAGCTGCTTTAGTATTGTTTAGATGAGTTTAGGGCTGAACTCTTGAAATCGGCTAACTTATCAGGGGCTCATCCCTGGAGACGACTGGCCTTCCCTCTCCCAGCAATCATCTTCTTCTAGGAATGAAGCCCCGTGAGAGTCCCCCAGTTCACACTGGCATGTCAGCATGTCTGTGGTGAAGGACTCATGGAAGGCGCTAGATCTCTCTTTTCTCAAGGAAACAGCCAACTTTAACGCTCACATACTCCTCACTAGAGGGCAGAGTGGCAAGAACTACCGGTATCTTGTTTCCCCTGTTGGGCCTTCACTGAGGGTAACGTGTCACAAAGCCTGCTCTAGAATGTGCATTATGGAACTTGCTGGATCAGAGCGAGGTTGAAACAGAAGTCCAGAAAGAATATGATCTACTGGAGAGCTTGGAAGGGAAATATCTTCAGAGATGGGCCAGGCCTTTATTTACTATCTCATCCAACATCCTAAGGCTTTGGAGTCCCCAACTGGGGACCACCTCAGACTCCCTTTCTATATAGGACAACCAAAATTTAGGGCCCTCAAGGCTGCTGCCTTGGGCATATACCAAGCCATTTGGTGTGGTGGGATGTAGGCGGGGGGGGGGGACAGGGAGGAGGTATTTAAAAACTTTTGATTTTCTGGGCCTCCGCATCTACTCATTTCAAGGTATAGTGAACTTTCTACTAGTTCTGCACACAGAGATTCAACTAACTGTACAACTCAACAATAAAACCACAATGACCAGAGTTAGGCATTTCTCAAAAGGGGATATCCACATGGACAATAGGTACATAAAAAAATGGCTCAAAATCATTAACAATCAGGGTAATGCCCATCACAACCTTACATTGTTTAGAATTTCTAGTAACAA